TTAGGACTCATCCTGTATATTACTTTACATGTATCAGAATTTAGTAAAAAATTACTATAGGTTGTAAATTAAGTCATAAAATATATATGTACGGTACACCTAAACGTAAATTAAATATTTCACTGTGTTCACATACGATATCAGAAGATAACATTCGGCCAAAGAGAGCACTAGGTCAGTCCGTAACTGAAGAAAAGCGAGTCCCATTAAACATCGATCCTAATAAAGTATTTCGCTGAATTATAAATGAAAATTCCAGATTTAACTTTAAAAATGAATATTGCTTTTTTTTTGTATAATTAATCAATCGAACCCAATTAATCCTTTTATATGCATATTTAGGTACGTTCTACAAAACCCGCCTGACAGTTAATCACATCCACTGAAATGTGCATGCTTACCAGCGCTTTAAACATCCACTTTATGTGATTAGACACCAAATAACCACAGCACTCAATACAGCAACATAAATAACCCAACAAACTACAAAATTAAAATGATAGTAACAGAATTTATAAATTTTCATTGTATCCTATTTCACATTTACGTCATTGTTTTAAACACATTTAAATGCAAATCGCCGCTTCTGCCAGGCAACATGAGCAGGGTATATGCCAATGTCATCCAACAGGTTTCTGTAGTCAGCGCTCCCATAACCGCTTTGTGTTTGCATACCGGTTGTCATTTTTCTTCTCTCACGTATACTCTCTTATTTCTCTCATTCGCTCTCTCCTAGGAATAACGTTTCGCTATTCGCACAAACCGCCAATTTTCTGCATACAAGAGCAAAATACGATACACTTTACACATTGTATGATTTTTGCAATAAGGAGGATGATTTGCGATAACCCTAAGGAAAAGCATAAATATTCGCGACCTAGGCCTGACTTTTTTTTCCTTGGCATTACAGCCCCAGTGATCAGGTGGGCAGGTCATGTAGCACGAATGGGGGAGACGAGGAATGCGTATAGGATATTGGTGGGAAAGCAAAAAGGAAAGAGACCACAGGGAAGACCAAGGCGTAGGTGGGTGGACAATATTAGAATGGATCTTAGAGGGATAGGATGGGATGGTATGGATTGGATAGATCTGGTTCAGGATAGGGACTAGTGGAGGGCTCTTGTGAACACGGTAATGAATCTTCAGGTTCCATAAAATGCTGGGAAATTCTTGAGTAGCTGCAGAATTGGCGGCTCCTCCAGAAGGGCTCAGCTCCATGAGTAAGTAAGTAAGTGAGATTACAGCCCCAGTGGGCCTAGGCCTACTTCCATGAACTTCTCCGTTCACGGCCTAATTCTAACCCAAAATAATATTGTCGCGTGTATTAGTGTCTAATAACGCGGGTTAGGGATTGGATGAACGGGTTTATTTACTCCTTATACTGTACATACCACCAGTAATTACACGTAATTATAGCGCTATCGCTATTTCCACGTTTTATAAGTCACTGTTACACTGGCAACAGAGGAACTATAACAGTCTCTCTGAATTACACACTCCAAATGTTACATATAAATAAAGTCTTTTAATCAAACGTTAAGTCTTCACATGTCTACTTCTAATTAGTCTCCAACTACACTGCTGTTCCCTTGGAACTTCGGAACTCAAGTGAAGTCAATTTCCATCCCCGTGTTCTCTTATATCCTCTCGGCACAGGCCACTCACAGAATACATAGCTCCTCTATTGTTGCATGGTGCCGACCGCACAGAAAACGGGTATACGACTCGCGGCTTCTCAGCTACGTCTCATTCTCCCCGACGAAGTAAACTTATGTTACTGCCGACGGAATAAAGCATCTACGAGTATCTGGGGCTTAAGACCAGTTCTTTATTACTGTCAGACAGTTAACAAGTTTGTTGATGTGGGGAGCTCCCTCTGACGAGAGGACTGGTCTGTCGTTTGCCAGAGTCACAGTCAGCGGTAATAAGTCTGTTGTCAGTATGTACAGTTTATATTTTACATTATATTAAATGTATGTATATACAACATATACAAGGCCTCTGTCAGTCCAGGTTCTGTACAGCAGATCATGTTCTGTCATTAGTAGCTCCTGCTACAACAGAGGTCTTGTCGCTTGAACGGCAGCATTCTTGACAGCCGCCAAGTTTGAGCCTTCGTTCCTGCGAGTCGAGTCTAGTCTTTGTTACGACCGACGGACAGTCGGCCAGTCTGTCTTAGAATAAAGCACCCATCTGGGGCTTACGACGAAATTTTATAAATGTCAGATATTTGCGGGTTTGGTGATGTGGAACGCTCTCTCTGACGAGAGGATGGGTCTATCGTTTACAATTACTGCTGGCCCTCGCCAGCGTAGTCATTCTCGGGTCCGAGTCCCGTGGGATTCTTGAATATTTTACTGTATTTTACTGTCTCAGATTCGAGACTTCCCATTTCGTCGCCTCCTACGACTCGCAAGGCTACGTTAAATATATTCAACCCTGCTTCCACACAAGACTCTCGTCCTTGCGAATCAATTACGTGTCCTTTCATGACCTGGTACGGACCACAGAAAGAATACCACGTCTTACATTTCCTCTGTAATTCTGCGTATACGTTGCCACGGTAATTCGTTGCAGCGGAAACAATGTTTACTTAACTGTTGTGTAGCGACAGACGTTTTTGTTGTGCTTCTGTGACGGTGCACTTTCCGCTTTCAGGCGTCATGTCACATTATTCTTCTTACTATATCCGTTTGATATTAAACATACACATTACTTCGACAATTACGAGAAGTAAACTGTACTCATATTGGTTTATAAAAATTCTGTTTCATTAAGATAATCTGTGTAATGCAATGACAACGACCAGTATTCAGTTTAATTACATTCTCTTTTACGTGCTTACTCAGCAGCTGCAGGAATCACAGTCTTCGTACAACCAAACAGAAAGTAAAAGAAAACAAGACAGAGAAGTAGGACAAATACGTAAGTAAAAAGCATTCTACTTCATATTAAATGCAACACAAGCATAATTGCATACTAACACCGAGTGTAACAAAATACGGTGACAACCGATTAACTAAATTAACCGAAAGACTTATTGTTAATCGTGCTGGCGTTTTAACAGCCTTCATTTCCGGCTGAGGCACAACTAACAGAAGAGCTTCTATTACGTGAAATATAAAGTCGTATTCAAGGTACTAAAGTCCTTGATGTTTCTGAGTAGAACTGCGCTACCAACAGTTTCTGAAAGCCAGGGGCAAGTGGTAAAATTGTTATAGAATTTCATTATAAACAATGCCTCAATATAAGGCCGCCTCTCGCATAGTGTGCATCTTTAAGTAACCCAAAACGTGGTTCTATCTGTATGAATAGAGATTTTGAATGACCTCGTGTAACGTAAGGTAGAAAACTTTAATAAAGTAAAGTAAAGCTATCACTGTAACAGGCCGTGAAGGACCATAGGGTTGTGAGACGCTGAGGGTCCCACATTATCTAGACAATCGGCTCAAAGATGGCGGTAAGTTTGTCAGCCTTACGCGCCGGCCGCGCTTTACTCCCCAGGAAAATTATTTAATTAATTCCTGGTACTCTTTCTGTTAGAGGCTGAGTCGACCCCAGGGACATAGTGCGGCTGGAAGGATTAGGTCAATTGAAAAAAATCCAATGACCTCATCGGGACTTGAACCCGCGACCTTCCGGCTTGTAGCATAGTGCCTCAACCAACTACGCAACCGCGTGCCCCCATAGAAAACTTTAATAGCAATGCTAAAAATAACTTTTTGTCTTGATCAAAAGAGCAAGTGTTATACGTGATTGACTACTATATCACAGTCATGTGGTAAAATTATGTTATAATATTTAAAAGTACAATGTGATTATTTGACGCTACATTATTTCTGTTTTTCTTTGTAAATCAAGTAAAACGTTTACGTCTGACGGAAATGCAGTGAATAAACTGGTCCTATTCTCACTTATTTACGTCACTTTATATTTTAAGCGCAATACAATCTGGAGAGTTCCGATGGGCTTGAAATTTAACTCGGAGAGTTGATATGGTTGACACAGTTAAGTTCACACAGAATTTTGGTGGAGAAACCTCTCATAGAAAGGAGTTTATGCTTGAGGACCAAGAAGTTGATGGGCGGATAATATTAAGGTTTGTCTTTGTGCGATATCTCATGAAGCAAGAATGTCGAATTTTGCATCAGCAGAGTTATTATTATTATGTGACAAACAAACTGTAGACAGCAAAATCCTTCCTGAGGAGCGAACAAAGGAACAGCCAAGATATCGTCCAGTTTCATAAGAATCGAAGATTCAGGGCTTCACTCACAAAAGTCCCCCGCTGTCCTCTGTCCACACTCAGTAATTCTAATCTTACGTCCTCATCCGCCAGTAATTTGAGGTCCACAGTAACAGTATTCTTCCATCTACTTCTATTTCTCCGAAGTTCCCTCTTCCATTCAGCTTCTCGGACAATAACTGTAGCGCATTTATCATTCCTATGGATGCTACATGGCCTGCCCATCTCATCCTTCTTGATATGATTACGGTAATGACTTTTTTAAATACTGAAAATTATGCAGCTCCTATTTGTATCACCATTATTATTATACCACGTAAATTAATAAGGAATTATTCTATTTTCGCTTTAAGCATAATGAAAAAAATAAGTGTTTTAGCCAGGTGTACAAAATCAGCAAAAGAATAATTTCTCATGCTTTTAATACTATAAATGCTGTTTCTCTAGAGAATTGCCTTTCCTTTCCATAATCCTAGCTCATTTGTTATATTCTATATTTATTTGTTTTATTTGTTTTGTATTTATTGTGTATTTAAAGCGCTTGTCTGTTACAGGTCACAGGTATTGTCAAACACTCTAATGGATTAGTTGAATTGATAAATGAGACAATAATTGCTATAGTTTCGTAATCATAGTCAGAATTATTATCACCATAACCATAAATGCCATTGAGATTCCGAATTGCTTGGCATGGTTACAATACTGGGGGAGCAGTCACCTCTCCCGAAATAAGAACACTGTAGCGGCTACTCACGTGACAATGTCGCTCGCAGTACCAGCGATCCAACAGCAAACACCGTCGAGCAATGAACCGGCCGTGCTAGCAACTGAGTGTCGCTGTATAGGAGTACATAGCTACGTAGAACCGCTATAGTGCTTACGTAACAAGGCCTCTTCTCACTCAATCAGGCAGCAGGCGCCGAAGGCCATCTAACTTCCCTATTATCCGCCTTATCAATAGCCTTGCATACATATTTGTTCAGCAGGGCCGCAAGGCCGAGTGGCGGTGAATATGTGACACGGTTTTTTAACGTCTTAATCCTTATCGGTTATTACAGTTCATCTGCTTTAATATAAAAGAACTCAACATTTTCCCGCGCACTGTACGAGTATATATGATTTAGATAATCTGGTTTCTGAACTTTGCCCTTGTCTAGTATTCAGAAATGAAATTAGGTTTCGGATCTTGAATCTCTCTCCGTCCGCAGATGGAAGAATGGGGAGACACGTATTCAAGTGAATCCATTAGAAAGAGCATATCTGATTCTCTCCACAACTGAAGTCAGTCAAAATAAATCAATATACGCACCTGTGATCAGTGTTTTTTCGGCGAAGTATTTCGTATGATTCGTACGATAAAGAGCAATTGTTTTCTCTTCTATTTATCTATCGCTCTACAGCCCTTGTGGGTCTTGGCCATTTTTTCGGTTTCTTAATCTACGTGTGCGCACAGTCGGAAGGACTCCTTGGACGGGGGACCAGCCCGTCGCAAGGCCGCTACCTACATATAGAACAACACAAACACAGAGTAAACGCACACAGACATACATTCGTCGAGTGGGATTTGAATCCACGATCACAGTGTTCAAGCGGGCGAAGACGGTTCATGCTTTAGACAGGCGCGGCGACTGTGATCAGCGCTTTTATCTCCTTATTAAGCATTAAACCGGTTGCCTTTCGGAATAACTGGTTCGGTTTAGCGATGGTCTACGGGCCGGATGGCCAAGATTCGGTTCCGGGCAAGAGCAAGGAGCTGTTCTCTTTTCCACGGCGTCCGCACTGGCTCTGAGGTCCACCCAACCTGCCCTCCAGTGGGTACGGGGTGGCTCTTTCCCTGGAAGTAAAGCAGCTGGGGAGTGAAGCTGATCACTAACCTGTATCTAGTGACGAGGTAAAGAATGCTGGAGCTGTATCCTAGCTCCCCCATGTGTCTTCATAACGTGGTTCTTAATTAATTAAGTACAGGGACAACTTTGAGTTTGTTTCCTGTGAGATGAGAACTGAATTTTTAAACGTCATTTCGTTCTTCAAAGAATTAATTAAATTGTCTTTAATCAATTATCGTAACGTCATGCAGCCCGTAGATTTCAGACTCTTGTTCCCTACAGTGTACTTAACGGCAATAACTTGGCAACGGAAGATAATTGCGTATGCCGGGTTTGCAAGACTGTGAATTATCGAGAAACCACAGTCAGGACACCTGGTCTCCGAATCGAGAATTCAACCCGGGACGTCCCTAGTACGAAGCAATGGCAATAACCATTGAACAGTGAAGTTCAGCAAACTGCAGTTTTGAAACTGATCTGAATATTCAAAATGTTTCATGAAGTTCCCCGAAGGAAGTTCTCTAGACTCGTAGCAGATCTTTGTATGCTAATATTATTTTCAGTTCAATTCATTTTCATAATTGAGATGCATTGGGGTTACACATTGTTAAAGCACAATAGATCAGTGATGGTCGCCGTGCCAGGGCCACATTACCATGGCCCACCCTTACACATATATACACAGAGTAAAGTTAACGCTCAAATTGAAAATGATTCATGGTTCACAGATTAAAATTAGCTGCATCGGGTTTAGCTATTTAGACATCGTTTCCTTTTGTTATTCTTCTGTCTGCGCCTTGCAATTACCTGTATTTCATGGCGATTCACAATTTTTCTAATAATGTAATTTCGTTTTAAGAGTATATCTTTTCCTTGTTGCGCTTGGTTTCAGCTTTTGGATCATAGTTTTTATGTCGAAATAAAATAATATGTTTCACAGATATAAAGAATAAATTGTACGAAGTTGAATTTTTATATATAGTGAAATTTTTAATTACTGAAGAAAGTGATGTATTGCATTAACTTTATAATACTAACATCGACTTCAATTTATATTGTCCTTCAATATTTATTGTTATCATTATTTCCATATTAGTACTAGTGACATTGCCGGTCACGATAGCCGAACGGTCCACGGCATGTATTGTCTTCGCTCGCTTGGAATCCGAGATCGTGGGTTCGAATCCCACACAAGGCATGGATGTTTGGTATCTGTATATATTTATTCTATGCTTATGTTGTTCTGTGTTTAGGTAGAGGCCTTGTGACGAACTGATCACTCGTC